CTGTGCCATCTGTATCTTATGTTGTTAAGATTGTGGCCACCAATAATGAATCCTGGTAGCACTACTAATTCTCTTTGAATCGCCTCACTGCATAGGTTGGTTATGTCCCATGTGCAACCCATTCAGTAGGAGTTCTTGTACTTTCATTTCTATGTCTGCTATCAACACTGTGCCATCTGCATATCTTATGTTGTTAAGATTGTAGCCACCAATAATGAATCCTGGTAGCACTACTAATTCTCTTTGAATCGCCTCACTGCATAGGTTGGTTATGTCCCATGTCCCCATTCAGTAGGAGTTCTTGTACCCATTTCATGTCTGGATCTGTTCTTGTTGTTAAGATTGTGGCTTTCATTTCTAATGTCTGCTATCAACCCATTCAGTAGGAGTTCTTGTACATTTCTATGTCTGCCAACAATAATCTGCATTATCTTATGTTGTTATAATGTACACCAATAATGAATCCTGGTAGCACAACTAATTCTCTTTGAATCGCCTCACTGCATAGGTTGGTTATGTCCCATGTGCAACCCATTCAGTAGGAGTTCTTGTACTTTCATTTCTATGTCTGCTATCAACACTGTGCCATCTGCATATCTTATGTTGTTAATATTGTGGCCACCAATAATGAATCCTGGTAGCACTACTAATTCTCTTTGAATCGCCTCACTGTATAGGTTGGTTATGTCCCATGTAACCCATTCAGTAGGAGTTCTTGTACTTTTTTCTATGTCTGCTATCAACACTGTGCCATCTGCATATCTTATGTTGTTATAATGAATCCTGGTAGCACTACTAATTCTCTTTGAATCGCCTCACTGTATAGGTTGGTTATGTCCCATGCTGCCCATTCAGTAGGAGTTCTTGTATTTCATTTCTATGTCTGCTATCAACACTGTGCCATCTGCATATCTTATGTTGTTAATATTGTGGCCAATAATAATGAATCCTGGTAGCACTACTAATTCTCTTTGAATCGCCTCCTGCATAGGTTGGTTATGTCCCATGTGCAACCCATTCAGTAGGAGTTCTTGTACTTTCATTTCTATGTCTGCTATCAACACTGTGTCATCTGCATATCTTATGTTGTTAAGATTGTGGCCGCCAATAATGAATCCTGGTAGCACTACTAATTCTCTTTGAATCGCCTCACTGTATAGGTTGGTTATGTCCCATGTGCAACCCATTCTGTAGGAGTTCTTGTACTTTCATTTCTATGTCTGCTATCAACACTGTGCCATCTGCATATCTTATGTTGTTAAGATTATTGTCACCAATAACGAATTCTAGTAAGGCTTCTAATTCTCTCAAAATAGAGACACTGTGTGTGTGTGTGTGTGTGTGTGTGTGTGTGTGTGTGTGTGTGTGTGTGTGTGTGTGTGTGTTAAAGTCAGTTAAGTTCACAAAAACTAAATGGAGATATGTAGTTATCTTCTAGGTTAACCTGTTGAATACGCAGGTATTTTTCAATGGAGTGGACAAAAATTCTCAATGACAACAATAAAAGAATAAGGACAGAGCAAAATAATACAATGTAATACAAAACAAGGTAATGCGACTATATGGCAACAGCAAAGTAAGGTAATTATAAGACAGTAAAAACGAAACGGTGTCCATATGTAAAAGGGATACAGTAAAGTATACTGTCAAGGTAAAAAAGAAAAATTGTTGGTAAGAACAAGTTTTGTCCATTTTTATTGACTAAGAAGAAATCCCAGCATGTAACTAAGGGGAGGATTTTTAGCTGACCTTCCCAGAAATGCCCATGGTATTTTTGATATTCTGTTGTGACGCCGAGTGCAAAGTATATACTGGGTTCACCATAGATCATTTCTTCTTCGGACAAAGATTAGTGGTGGTCATTAAATTCAGTTCAACCCCTGGTATTTCCTTTTTTTTTTCTTTCTTTTTTTTTTTTTACAGTAAGTTTCACCCTCCACAAGGACCAGGGGCTACTCGAGGTAGGGGGTTACGTTAAGAGGTAGTTTTATGCGGATAGGATGGAAATATAACCATTAACTTTAGACTTCAACAGGTTAAGATTGTCGTGATCGGGAAAACATCCTCTTGAAGGGAAGAAGCTGTTCGAGCTGGACTTATTTCTCACCGATGGAATAATACAGAGAGGTTTGCTACTATGTAAGTGGCATGGCAGATTCTAGCCATGAAGATTAGACTTGGCGGAACCAATGTAGTTTGTCCGAGGACTTTCCATGGTAGTAGCGATAGAGCAGTGAGAGGCTTACCACATCCCTTCTGTGAGAGCGAGGTTGGAGGCTGGAATATAATTTGTTACCCACAAGGACTCGGAGACGCTTTTGAACTCTGTCAAGACTGAAAAGTGTAGACTGGGCAGCTCCCGACCAAATATGAAACTCGTATTCCGTTTCGACCTGATCTGGCTCTTATAAAGGTAGAGGATAGCAGAAGGAGTTCAAATCAAAAATGTTAATAGCCATAAAAAGTGAATTCAGAGAAAAATGGTTAGAAGCCCAATAAGTAGAAAATAGCAGGACTAAATTATCTGTAAAACAAACCCGTCAGAGTGTATTGAGCTTTTCAGAAATTATTCGGCAATTATAAAATTTCTAGACAAATCCCCGTCTTACGAAAAATTATCTTCATAGTAATTTTAAAATAATTCAGCAGACGATGTTATTTTATTTATGGTAATTAGATTTTTGGCGATTGTCTTACTCGGTTACAGTGCGTCTGATAATTTTTATCGCGGTCGACATCTTTTATCGATCTTTTGGCAGGGGTCGGTAGAAATAATATTAGGCCACCCCCCCCCATCCCCGCTTATCTCCGAGATACTACCTCTCCCGCCCAAATATGAAAACTATTCCATTTTCGGCCTGATCTGGATCATATAAAGGTAAAGGATAGCATGAGGAGTTACTTACTGGAGCGATACAGGGGGCTGAAAATATTACCTACACTTTTAGCAATGGATCGTATGTACGAGTTCCATTTGAGAACAGGTGTGAGTTTGAGATCCAATATTCTCTCAAGGCATGGTGCCTCCTCAAGGGAACATCCGTTCATCGTGATTAACGGTAGTTCGGGGTCCGATCGGCTGTGATCGAATGTAACTAGTTTGATTCCTGGCGTTAATCATAAGCTTATGTGTTTAGTGTTTGTATACATCTTCAAATCAAAAATGTTTCGGACCTTCCTCAGCATTAACAAGAATTATTGGTTTTATCTGTTGAGAGAAATATTAAATCTCTTTTACCTTAGCGAATATATCATCAGATACTAAATTTATTCGTGTCCTCAAGGAACATTTCGCAATTACATTGTTTATACGTAATCTAGGATTTTATCAGTATACTGCAACTCTATCACTAATACTATGATACCATGATAAATGTCCCGACGAGCTAAAATCCTTAGTTTGAGAAGACAATAAACAAATAAGAAACGTTTATAAATTTGATATGTTTCACTTTTATTTAAGCTTCATCAGAAAATGAAATATCAAATAGAAAAAGAAAATCCTGGTATTTTTATTTTTGTGTTTGTTTTTCATTGGTCAAGCAAACCTCATGTATATCTGTCTTATCAAGCAGCGTCCGTGTATGTAGTTTATGTGCGTATGTAAATCATAATTCTAGTTTGTCTATGCGCGATTCGGTTGATAATGTGTACGTGTTTTTGTACGTTTGAGCGTCTCGTAGGTATTTTCACCTATATTTAGTGGGTGTTTTGTGTAAGGGTGAAAGAATTTAAGTTACACCTAGTAGGTAGATATATCTTCCTTAAATATGGATTTCACACTATTTACATGCGGATTATTTTCCTCATCTTCGTTGCTGTTATTACAACGTCCACGTGGGACAAAACCACCTAGTGGATTAAGGCGTTTGTTCGTGAAATTGGTGATATAGTAATTGTGAGTTCAATCCCTGGATCGATCAGTATGAACTTGGACTTATTGGAAACATTCGAGCAATAACAGAACAGTACTAAAAATAAGATCTAGGCGGGATATCCCTAGACATGGTCAGTGGAACGAGAACAGTTTACCCCTGTAGATTAAATAAAAGGTTCAGTTCGGAATTCCCTGTAACTCCTCATCCCAGAAATTCCTTAGATCCACTAGTTCAGTCAAAGACCCGCCATATTGTATCCACGGGATCGAATAATCCTTATTCTCTCCGTATTGTACTGGCAAGAAGGAAATTCTACTCAGATAACGTCTTCATGAGAACCGTTACTCTGTGGAACAGATTCCAAAGAAGATGCTTTCCCGATTACTATAATCTTAACCGCTGCAGGTCATGGGTAAACCGTTTTCTATGCTACGTATCCTCATAATCTGCACTTAATCGATTCTAATCGAACAAAGGTTCGTGATCGACAATAAATTCAATTCACCTCCCCGGCTGGTATTTCCTGACGTTAATCATAAATTATCTTTCATATAAGAAAGAATTCTGTTCTGTAAATCATTGAAATTAAAAAACAAATTCAACGAATACTAACACAGAAAAAGAACAAATAAAAATCAACATATTAGGGGCATTCTATCCTTCACTTAAAAGTAATGTTCTTAATGATTCGTATTGTCGTGATAACGGAATCTTTCATGAGTAAGTAAAGAAGATCAGGCTACGTGACCGATAAATACATAAATCTACATTGTACGCAGATAAAACACGGTGTTGATGGCAATCAGAAATAGAAAACTGCAAGATAGATAAATTGTTGGTTGTTTTTGTTTAATGCCGAAATCAAAACGTACGCAATTTTATTTATTTATTTTAAGATAATAATGGCTTTAAAGATATAAGTCTTACTAATTAACCCACAGATGGGGTGAGAAGAGACGGATTCATACATTTCCCTAGGGTATTTGCACGTAAATATATATATATATATATATATATATATATATATATATATATATATAACAAACCCAAGTAGAATTGGAAGTCGGCTCTCCGATTAATAATTTCGAGTCATTAACCATTACACCATCCGCACAACCAAGTCTACATCATCTAACATTCCCAAGCGGTCAACCATCTGGGTACTGACCAGGCTCGACGTTGCTTAACTTCAGTGATCGTACGGAAGTGATATTTCAATGGGATGTGTCCGTAAGTTATTACGAGATCAAGTAATAAAGGAAAGCGGGAAGAAAGAACTAATTATCAGTTGTAAAAAAAGCTGAATGTTTTGTCGTTAGATGGCCGGTTTAAGATGTGAGTTACGAATTGTTGACGGCAAAGATCAAGCAAGTGCATTAATTCATCTATCTGGGAAGTGATATATGGAAAAAAAAGAAAGCAGGAATATAGTGATTAAAATGTTCTCTATTTTTTTCTTTCCTTATATTGGAAATATTTTGCTTGAAGCTTGTATTTTTTTCTTATTTCAAATGGAAACTTTCCAAAATTATAGTTTATAATTATAGTTTAGATATCAGAAAAAAAATGAGGCGTCAGTTTGAACAAAACCAATGTTTTATAAAACTTTCTATTTCTTCGATATATTGTGAATATTTTAGATAAACTTTGATTTCAGATCAAAATGTGGACATTTTCCAACGTAGATAAGTGAAATTTCCACTTTTCAAGATTATAATTTATATATATGGAAAAAGAAGGTGCCACTTCAAACTGACGCTTGGTGTATATGGGTTTAAACTGATGCGTGTTTTTTTTTTTCTTTAATTTTTTCAATTATTATAATCATTTTGGAAAAGTTCGTATTTTCTTGATTTAAGATGAAAACTTGGAAATCTTGCAATATATTTCAGTGAAATTAGAAGTTAGAATTTAGATATATGGAAATAAAAATAAGGCTTAAACTGATGCTAGAAGATATGGTTTTATGGCCGAATAACTTTTATTACAGGGTAACGTTCAAACAAAATAGTAATCAGTTGCTGACAATGAAGCGAGGAAAAAAACAGGTGTTTTTTCTTCCATTTTACTAATTGTACTGTTTTGGGGTCTTTTTTTACACAAGTTACACATTTATAACAAAAGAATATTCCCGAAAAATAATCAACAATTAACACACATGTGTACAGACGAACACAATAATAGTTACAGACAGGTGCAGTCATATAAAGGGACAAATTTTGTTTTTGTTTTTTTTCTTTTGTTTACGAATGCATCAAAACCAGCAACGCTTCACTGTATATGTGTTAAGCAACTAATTTTAATGAAATTAAACAAGTTGACGTGCGCAAATTGTTGTAGCCTGTAGACACTAAATGCAAACATTTTACTCTTTTCTTATGAGATAATTAATCACTGCTTCTTCATTCTTACCTCTCATTGTTTTAGCTTCAATCAAAAGTTAGTTCACGAATCTATTTTCTTTCAGACGCACATATTAGATATTGTTTTATTGTGTGTTTCCAGCAGCAATTGGAAACTTACGCGTGGAGGTCACAGATCAGTGTCCTTGAAATCGAGAGGAGCAACTCAAGATCCTAGTGATTACATGGTCGATTACGATTTTGCTTCTAGCTGAGGAATGAACATGAGGTTAGCAAAGGCCAATATAGGAGCAGGTTACAACACAAAGGATGATTACAAGCCAGGAGATAAAGACGAGAGACGAGATGGTGGTAGTGAAAGGGAAAGTAGGAGGGAGAAGGGGAAACAGTAAACACGAAACCACTTTAAATGAGATAACAACAAATAAAATGACCTTCCTCCTTGGTTACACCCGCTCGATTATTCGGTTTGATTGACCAGTCGACCTAGAATATTTTAATCAGTAAAACAGAGGCGTGGCTAAATTATCCCAGAGATTCAACAGTTGCGATTTGAATCCTTATTCCAATTTCTAAAATGGACCCAGGATTTCTATCTAAAAATTTTGATTAATAGATCAGCTTAGTAAGAGATATTCGGGTTAGCCGTCAGTAGTGACTGCTAAATTTCGGCCTTCATTGGATGCTCTATAAATATGAGTATTTTGCCAAAGCTAAGCTAGAGATAATAAATTCAAATGGGTGTTTAGGCATTGAATCTCAGCAAAGGAATCCGTTTGATTAGTATTGCTGAATAGTGAGTTTGATACACACTGGCTGTAGCATACATGTAGTTTTCTTCCAAAACTCAGTTAAGCTTGGTATATTTCAGCACCTTGTGAAGTGGGTAACGAGTAAGTCTCGCTGACCATGAGGAGTGAGTTCGGTCCTCATGGTCAGTCCTCATGGTTGTGCAAAAAGTAATCTAAGCATATTCAGCACCTCGTCGATTAATGGATAACGAGATAATCAGGTTCCCAATTAGTAGCAAAATGGAGGTCCTAATCCTTGTAAGCTTGTTATATTCCAGCACCTCGGCATCGATTAATGGATAACGAGATAATCAGGTTCCCAATTAGTAGCGATTTCGGTCCACAATGGAGGTCCTATACTTGTGGCCTTGTACAAAAGCTAATCTAAGCTTGTTATATTCCAGCACCTCGGCATCGATTAATGGATAACGAGATAATCAGGTTCCCAATTAGTAGCGATTTCGGTCCACAATGGAGGTCCTATACTTGTGGCCTTGTACAAAAGCTAATCTAAGCTTGTTATATTCCAGCACCTCGGCATCGATTAATGGATAACGATATAATCAGGTTCCCAATTAGTAGCGATTTCGGTCCATAAAAAATCTAATCTAAGCTTGTTATATTCCAGCACCTCGGCATCGATTAATGGATAACGAGATAAGTTGACCATTAGTAGTGAGTTCAGTCCTCACTGGGTTTCACATACCTGTGGCCTTGCGCAAGAGCTAAACTAAGCTTGTTATATTTCAGCACCTAAGCGTAGGGTAATTCATAACGATATAAACAGGTTGACAATTAGTAGTGAGTACAGTCCACACTGGATGTCAAATACTTGCAGTCTTATGCAGCAGATCACTTAAGCTTGTTATATTTCAGCACATCCTGCATCGAGTAATCGATAACGAGATATTCAGGTTGACAATTACTAGTGAGTTCAATCTTCACTGGGTGACCCATAGTAGTGGCCTTGTTCAAGAGTTAACGATCTAAGCTTGTTATATTTCAGCATCAAGTAATGGATAACAAGATAGTCGGGTTGACTATTAGTAGTGAGTTCGGTCCTTAATGGGTGTCCTATATTTGTGGCCTTTTGCCAGAGCTAATCTCAGCTTTTTTTTATTTCAGCACCTCTGAATCGAGTAATGGATAACGAGATAGTCAGGTTGAACATTAGTAGTGATTTCGGTCCACACTGGGTGTCCCATACATGTGGCCTTGTGCAAGGGCTTATCTAGTCTTGTCAGCACCGCGGCATCGAGTAATAGATAACGAGATAATCATGTTGATTATTTGGGCACCTCGGCGTGGTGTAATGGTTAGCAAGCTTGTCTTGCTAGAACATATTACGACTGAGTAGTGAGTTCGATCCTCACTGGGTGCCCCATACTTTCGGCCTTGTGCCACATACAAGCTGCGCTTGGAAATCATGTTGATTATTAGTAGCGAAGCTAATCCTCACTGAGTGTGACCTTCTGCAAGAGCTTATCTCAGCTTGTTATATTTCAGCACATCGGCATTGTGTAATGGATAATGAGATATCAGATTGACCATTAGTAGTGAATTCGGTCCTCACTAAATTTCCCATACTTATGGCCTTGTTCAAGAGCTAAACTTTGTATATTTCATGCATCGGTAAATAGATACCTTGATAGTCATGCTGACATTTACTATTGAGTCGTGAATTCGATCCTCAGTGGGTGTCCCATACTTATGGCCTTGTTCAATAGTTAAGCTTGCTATATTTCAAGCATCGGGTAATGGATAACTTGATAGTCATGCTGACCTTTAATATTACGTTGTGAGTTCGATCCTCACTGGGTGTCCCATACTTTTGCAAGAGCTAATCTCGACTGAGAAAATAAAAATAAATCGATTTTAAGGCGTAAAAGTCTCACTTTTATTTTTTGGGAAACATAAGGCTTTTGATCTTTGAATCTTCCACATTGTGACTGAGACCTAGAAAAATTCACTTCATTTTCATTTTCAACGTGTTTCATCTGAAATTTTGCGTACATCTTATATATATTGCCACATCCTGGCAGCTGATACCTCCTCTGATGTAAGTCTAACAGTTTAAAGGTGAAAACTAGCTTGTAACTTTCAATACCTCCAAAAAACACGTTAACACTGCTACATCATCACCGAGTAGACACTGAATGTTCTACATAATGAACAGTTGTACTCTTAATGAGTCTCTTTGCCTTGGACATCTGCTGAGACCCAAGTTCAAGTTTAATTATAGTAATTTCTTGTTTTATGTTCAGCTGTGCTTCTAGTCTGTTTTTTTATATGCAGTGAAGTTTTCTACTATTGATACAGTTCTTTTTTATGCTTTATCCTGTACTGATATTTGGCTTTAAATATTACATGCTTTTTTAAGACCTGTCTCGTCATAGCAGATTCCCTTAAATTTTTATCTGCGGTGCATGATGACTTCCTGTTAGAGAGATTTGTATGGTTTCCCGTTGCCTTCTCAACGGTTTTAAATTCAGTGTTTTCTTTCTTGTTCATTGCCTGCCACCCAAGTTTACAGAGTCTAGTCTCTCCTATTAAACTAGATACCTCCAAAGAATTTCAAAAAATAAATGAGTATACATGATGAAAAAAGGGCCCAACTTGATAAAATCAAAATTTTATCGTAAAAATATCATTATTAAGAGGAAAGACCAAATTATTAACTTTTTAATTTTATACCACATTCGAAATTTTGGTTAAAAATCATGTTTTTCTTGCATCAGTGACTGGATCAAAGAGTACGATTACGAAATTTAACGTCTTTTTTTATAGGAAAATCACTTTGATTTGGAAATTCTTGTAAAGATCAAATAATTCAAATGAATGAAATTATTTTTTAACTTTCTTGAGAAAATTTTGGTAAATTCTTTTTTTACATCTGCTACCGCCACTTAATTTTATGAAATTTCAAGAAATTAAAATTTCAGCCTCCTCATATTTATATTAGTTAAAAGCAGGACTCCTTGGAGAATTAAAATTATCGATTTGTTTCTGTTTACTGAAAATTTACTCTGAATGGTAAAATTAAAAAATGCAA